AAATTTCCTTTATACTAAGAGATTTTTTTTCCATGTTGATAATAGAGTTAAATTCCCAGATCAATTGATCTGGGAATTTTACTATATATATATATATATATATATATATATATATATATATATATATATATATAAAATATATATATAATTTATACGTTTTGTATTAGTTTCATATGATTTCTGGTAAAATAGAATTATTTTCTGAAAATCCAGGATATCGTAGTTGCACACCTCATTTGCAAATAAATTTCTGCAGACTTTATTATGCTGCCAGCAATGGCAAATCATTTCATAAATGGCCGACAAGTATTTCTTGGGTAATTTCACAATAAAATATTTTATTCGAATATATATATAAAAAAAATGATACATAATGATTTATCTATTTTTCTTTTCAGAACTACTTGCAATGGAGATACATGAACACCTTCAACAGGGTCATGCCCTTCATGGAAAGGACTCTGAGCATGCGCAACGGTGGAAACAATTTCTTCATGGGAGACATGGTAAGTTATACGATAACAATTGTCATGAGATTAGTAATGGTACGTACTTTGTATACATAATAAAATTCAGAATTTATAAATTCTGAAAACTAGATATACTTCAATAATTTCTAAAGAATTTATGGGTTCTTTTTTTTTATTTATCGTTTTTTATAGTAGATAATTATATTTGAGTAAGCGCTGAGTTTATTTACTAAACAGTATATTTATTCAGTTATTCTCCTCTTATTAAAAAAAATCATGCGCTCTGTGTCAGGATTCGAACCTACGTCCCCCTGAAAAGGAGACAACCGTAGTTAGATCCGATGTCCTTTAACAGACGCAGCTAAAAATACCCTTTGCTGATCCCGCAAGCCTGACTAATGCATATATGCGAAATCCTTCTCGTTATAGAGTCTAGAAATTTAATATCTGCCAAGTTTCATAGCCAACCGTAAATAGAGGGATTTCTAAATAAGTAATAGATTTAAAAAATATATTAATCCGAGATATTTTATCACTTTCCAATCTAGTCAGTTATGTGCCATGCTTAATACACGCTAAGGCGATCGTGCTTCTTTTTATACATGACTGACGAGGCAGATTTTTCCCGCATTAGGTTGCCATTTCTTTCTGCGGTAGACGAGTTGCCATCCAAGGCTATAGAACCCGGTCTGTTCTGCTATTTACCTATAGCTGGAGAAAAAGAGGATTGATACGTTTCACAAGGTTATTAGCACGTAAATAAATGTAATGGATTCGACTGGATTTCGAACTCGGCTCTCCAATTCTTCAATCCGAGCAGCTACTCCACATTACTCCACCACACCAATCTAGTAGCACGGTAAATTCATGTAGCCGGGCACTATGGGAAAAAAGCTCGTCAGAGCAGTAGCCATGACATTATTTGTAGAAAAGACAGAGAAACCATGATACGTTTGTGAGAAAGTAACTGAAGTCGAGATGCCAGGCCAGAATCGATAATATAGCAGATACTTTTTTGGATTCTGTCAAGAATGTCAAGATGTACAGCAAAAGCACCTGACCAGATATGGCAACAGTATTCGATGCAGAAATGAATGCTAGATTTGTAAATGTCCAAGATAGATGCAATTTTCATAATTAATTTATTAGATTAAATTTGTGCCAGAGGGACTTACTCTTCATGAAGGCTAATCAGATATACAATAATGCTGTTGTAACGTGAGCGTGGAAATGAAATATTTATTTCCCCTAAGACGTTACTCTCGTTATGAGCATTGCTATATCCATGATATAACAACACCAATATTCACCGACAGAACAGAATAACTGAATGGAAAAAGAATAACCCCCATCCATAGATCACAATGAGGTTTATAATGCTACCTCGTACACAAGATTAGATATATACATATATACACGTGTCCCACGCAAAGAATTTATAACATACGCTTCAAGAAACGGTGTGTATAAAGAGGGGAATCTTATTTGTTATATTTCCCGACGGGTAAACTGGGGTTACTGCGGTTTTCTACGAACTGGGTTAGGCCATGTGATTTTTCCTGTAAGACCTACCGCTGTGGCCTAAGGATGTCCTTCGTCTCTGGGCTCTACATGACAACTGCCCTCGCAAATCTCTCTCTTGACTTCATTCAAATGCCGTCGCGTGATCCTCGTGTCTATCATAATAAAAGCAAACATGAAACTTACTAATTATTAAATCTAAATGGTTGACCTATAGTTTATAAAAATTAAAATAGTATTGGTAATGGTAATATTAGCCGTTTCCCTATAAGGAAACATTTGGCATTCATTGACTGAGCAGTCAATGTTACTTTCCTTTGAAATGCATAAAATCTTTCTTTTAAAATAATTATTCAGGAAAATACGTTTTTCAAGTCCAGCGACTTTTAGCGCTCTTTTCAGTATTGATGGGGGTTTCCTTTCTAACCTTTTGTGTGAAGTAGTGTAGAATGGCAACATCTCGTTCATGTCATACTTTTCTCTCCTAGTTACATGTGTGTTTTAACCTAGGGAATGTTACTGGAAGCAGCGCGTAGTTGAAGTAGTCAACTGCTAGAAGTGAGTCAAGTGAATTTCACAATGAATCTCCAGCTGCAGACCAACATACAGTATTTATTACTGTATCTCTGTGAATGGGGACATACTCATTATCGTCTGTAGGTATGCTACAACAATGTTTTATCCATTTTAGTTGTTTCTGCTCTTGGTAGTCTTTAAGCGACGTGGTTTCTTTTATTTGACACAGTTTATTTTTGGGATTCTGTAGCGCCAGCCCACAATGTTCAAAGAAAGTTGATGTTTTCCAAGGCCCACAGACTCCACTCACTCAAAGCCATTTTTAATCATTCGCTATAGAAAGCAACCAAATTTGTTTTCGGTTGATATTTATAAAACCTTTCTCTTAAAACGCTTTTTTTAAAATACGTTTTTCAAGTCCAGTAGTGGGTATCGTTCTTTCCAATAATGGAAGCGGTTTCCTTCCTAACCTTTAGTTAGAAGTAGTGTGGAATGTCAACATCTTGATTAAGTCATTATTATCTCTCATTATATCGTTATATGTGCTATCCATTTTGATTGTTGCTGCTGCTGGTGGTAGTCATCAAGTGATGTAGTTTTTGCTGTTTTGTCCAGTTCTTTGTGATTCTGTAGCGCCAATTCACAAGGCTCGAAGAAAGCTGGTTTTTGCCAAGATCCACAGGCTTCATTCGCTCAAAGCCATTTTAAGCGTTGACATGAGAAAGCAGTTGTACACAGTTGATAGTTTAGATAAATTGTTGGCTGGACAGGATTTAGAAGAGATAACAAACAATAAAATTTATTAAGCGCTACAAATGACAGGAAATTGTGGAGAGCTATGATCGTCACCGTCCTGAAAAGACATGGCATATAGAAGAAGAAGAATTAGGTTGAGTAAATGCATGGCAGGACCAGGATTTACGAGAGAAATAAAAAAAATAAAATTTATTTGGAGCTATAAAGGACAGGAAATTGTGGAGAGCCATGATCGTTAACCTCCTGAATGAACATGGTACACAGAATAATATGAAAAATGAGACTGAGTAAATTGATAGCAGGATAGTGTTTAGGATAGATAACAAAAAGCTAAAGTTTATCAAGAGCTTTAAAGAATAGGGAATTGGGGAGAGCTATGATCGCCAACGTCCCGAAGGGACACGGCATATAGAAATGAACTTGAATAAATGGATGGCGGAAGAAAGTTTCTCAAGTCCACTATTATTACTCTTTCCAATATTGATGGAGGTTTCTTTGCATAAGTTTGTGTAGCGCCAGTTCACAATTTTTAATGAAGGATGATATTTGCATAGACCCCAAGGTTTCACTCGCTACAGAAATTCAAAATCTCACATAAAATTCATTTTTTTTTATATTTTTCTGAAAGTTGCGTTTTTATATTTCACATCGATGTTTAAAATCTTTGATAATTTTTGTTTTAATCTTTGAATATTGATATAAAAATAAATTCTTTGAATCTTCCAGATGATGTGGTGTGACATGATGTTCTACTGTTGCATGGAGAACATGTTTAGGGAGAACCAGTCCATGTTCAGCAGCTACCCTAAACTGATGGCCCTCTACAACCGCATCGCTGCCCACCCCAAGGTCGCATCTTACCTGAAGAGCCGATGCAATAGCTGCTGGTAGAAACATCTGATCAACGATTCAATTTATCGAAATTTTCAAAACCTGTTTCATCAAGGAAAAAGAGTTTGGTGTTTTTTGTTTTTCATTTTAATGATGTAACGAATTCAAAAAATTAAATCTTTTTTTTTCATTCTCAGAACATTTCTCTTGACTTGTTTTAATTTATTTATTTGGCATCGCGAAAAATATACGGTTTGTTTTGTAAATCTGTATTAAATTTTTTCTTGGTCTCCATTATTTTATGATGTCTGTTAAAACAGATATTTATCGAAGTGATATAAAAATGAAAGAAGGAAGAAAGCAATGGATGGTTATTATAAGCGACAACAAAAAAAGTAAAGTAAGCTGCCATGATTTCATTCCACTTTCTTCAAATACTGATCTAGGAAAGAAAAGAAAATGGCACCACAACAGAAAAGAAATATTTACAAAATAAGACAGTATATATATATATATATATATATATATATATATATATATATATATTTTTTCCAAGCATAGCTTAGATGTGGCACAAGGAACTCACTTTTATACATATATATATATATATATATATATATATATATATATATATATAATGCATGTATGTATTATTAAATAATATAGACAACTTTTGTCTATGTCAAGTAAATTCCTTTCATATTGTCTGATTATCATTGTAAGACGAAAGGTAATCAACATGTTGATACATGTTTAAATCCAATCTTACATAAGCCATTATCAAAGATGACTATTTCAATATATCAAACAACACACAGACGAAACAACAATGATAGTCCGCCCTTGCTGCATGAAAAGCAACGACAAACTCGTGTATACGAGACGTGGAAACTAAAATCGCGTCGTATGCTATCTATAATGTTATCTATCTATCTATCTATCTATCTATCTATCTATCTATCTAGTTAGAACGTTCGCATTCTGACGATGAGACCCGGGTTCGAATTTCACCATGGTCGATAATTCCTGTTGTCGGACTGTCGATCCAAGCGTGCGACACATTTGGAAAGTACCTGAAAACCATAACACGGTTGACTCAAGCTTTGTGAATGAAAATGGGTAGAACCTACGTCGATAGATGTGCTAGCACGAAGTCATAAGTCATCGTGGCCGAGGGTTTGAGCGTGCTGATCTTGTCTGGGTTGTTGATTACGCTAGATAGCACGATCTTTACAAGAAACTTTAAGTAAGGTCTGCTCAGCATAGTTGCAGTATAAACCACAGGTTGGTTCTGTGGGTGTTGAACAATTGCATCTGGGAGCGGGCATCTGCAATAGGCATTTGCTAACTGCCCTAACTGACGGATATCCTCGAATACGAATGACCAGTTATATATATATATATATATATATATATATATATATATATATATATATATATATATATATGTATTTTTTTGTATATATATATATATATATATATATATATATATATACGCAAAATACAAGTACAATAGGCTCATCCACATGTAAAAAAAGAGCTTAAACAATGGAATCACTAATAATAAAAAAGAAAAAGCCACACACTCAATAACAGCAACCATGATCACAAAATAAGCTGACTATATTTGGAAAATAAAACATTTCTCTATCACTAGATACATAAAAAAATTCATACATTCAGATAAAAAAATACATAAAATCATCCTCGATAAAGATTAAAAGAATAGCCGAAAGCGCAACAGATTTAAACAATTTCTCAAAACTTTTATATCCAGAATAGAAAGCACTTCTACGAACATCAAAAATATTAAAATGTTTAATCACAGTACACATTGTAAGTCATCGTTAATGGAACTTCCAGCTTGTGTGATGACATTGCAAGAGGACACAATGAGTTCAGGAACTCTATTGGATAATTCACTGCCTGCTCTTGTTCAATCATAGTGTCAGTAGAAAAGTACTTCATACTTTCTTTTGAAATTTCTTGTCTGTTGGGCTGGGGACTGGGGGAGACAAGCTTTAAATTCCCAAGTTGGCATCTACGCGGATGACACCACAATTTATTCCTGCCTCAAAATCAAATCTAGTGTCACTGACAAAACTAACCTGGCCGTGCGTCTCGAAAAGGACCTCCAATCAGTTGTGAACTGGGGCAGGAATTGGCTGGTCAACTTTAATTCTTCAAAAACAAAACTGCTCTCTATTAATCACCACAGAGATCCTTCCTTGCCCTCCATTAGAATGTCTGACGCTCAACTTCTCGAGAGCAACTCTCTGCGGCTGCTCGGTCTCATATTGACGGCTGACCTGAGATGGAACAAATACATTGAGTCAACTGTTTCGTCCACCGCATAGCACCAATTCCAGAATTTTAACTTTTTGCTAAAATAAATAAAATTTAAAGAGTATTTTATAATGTCTAATGGAGCTGAACATTATTTTTATGTTTAGATATATTTAAACTGATCAAATTTTATTTCAGAGAACAATAAAATTAAATTTTGTTTGATTAAAAGCCTGCTAACATGGAAGTACCCAAGAATCATTTGAGGCACATAATGCTTTATGAGTTCAAGAAAGGAAACTCAGAAGCTGAAGCGGCTAGAAACATTCACTCAGTTTATGGAGAGGAATGTGTAAATGAAAGAACTTGCAGAAGATGTTTTGCAAAAATCAGAGGTGGAGATTTCATCCTTGAAGATGAAGATCGAACCGGACGTCCAGTTGAGTTTGATGAAAAGCTTCTTGAAGCAGCCCTTGAAGAAAATCCTGCTTTATCAGTTGAGGAATTGGCAGTGGTTCTCAGTTCAAACCATACAACTGTTCATCGTTATCTTCAACAACTTGGAAAAGTTCCTAAATTTGGAAAATGGGTGCCTCATGAATTGTCTGAAAACAACCTCAAATCCCGAATTGACATCTGCTCTTCTCTTCATTCTCGCCAACTTGTTTCACCTTTTTTGGATAGACTTGTGACTGGCGACGAAAAATGGATCTTTTATTGAAATGTTAAGCGTCATAGACAGTGGCTTGGTAAAGGGGAAGGACCCACGCCACAGCCGAGAAGGGAACTTCATGGGCAAAAGGTTCTTCTTTCAATCTGGTGGAAACGCCAAGGAATAATTCACTTTGAATTCTTACCACATAATGCAACAATTAATGCTCAAATATACTATCAGCAATTCGAGCGTTTGAACCAAGCTTTGAGGGGAAAAGACCTGCTCTAGTGAATTGAAAAGAGGTGATGTTTCATCAGGACAATGCGCGACACAGCAAGAATCACGTCACAAAAGATCGAAGAACTTGGTTGGGAGAAAATTCCTCATCCACCTTATTCTCCCGATCTTGCTCCTTCAGACTACCATTTGTTTCGTAGCTTAAAGAATCATTTGGAAGAAACAGCTTTTGTAACACAGGAAGAGGTTAAAACTGACATTTGTGAGTTCTTCGAATCAAAGCCAAAAGAATTTTACAGTAATGGAATTAGTAAGCTTGTTAATAGATGGAAGGAAGTCATAGATAATCAGGGAAAATACATTGTTGATTGAATCTGTAATTAAATGTAACATTTGGTCACTTGTTTTCTTTATTCAAAATTCGGACAGAACTTATGAGATGACCTGATATATATATATATATATATATATATATATATATATATATATATATATATATACTAGCAGTATAACCCGTCTTTGACCGGGTCTTTCATTCCTGGGAATTTTTACCGTTCAGTTGAAGCAGTTTAAGTTAAAATCAGCTCACACGAAAATCAATATTAGTAACAACAACTGGGTGCAAATTAGGCACATTCCCAAATTGTGTTTGTGTTTCTAAAATATGAATGGGAGGGCGGCCCTGAAAATGGCCGTTTTTGCGTTCTCAATCTTGTTTCAGCCTCCGCTGAGTCCTTTGATCATCACTTTCAGCCTCGCGCGCAGATGCGTTCAAGTATGCTATTCTGGAAAGCCGATGGCTACGTTGATCTTTCGACTCAGTCGCTCTGTTTGATGCATTGCGATGACCATTTTTAGACAAACAAACTAAACCTTCTAAAGACGAGTCGTTATGCTATTCGCATGGCGGACACGGAGGCAGCGGTTTTGCGACCAAGGCATGTTCTTTTCTTTGGTGGCATGTCTTAGGCAAGTACGAATTGTCAAATGGAATGTGTGGACAAATACCAGAAGAGTAACTACATTTAGTGGTCTGAATGTTCGAGAAATTGCATAGAAAATATGTCCTCCAACAGGAATCGAACTTCTATCCTACACAGAACCATCATATAGCCTGATGTGCTATAGCATTTAGATTCAGAGTAAGCGTCAGGTCAGCAAATCAAAGTCATGTTTATTCTAAAGTATTCGCTTAAGTATTTGCATGTATAATAATAACATATAAAATATATTAAAATTATTGTCGGGCTTAGTCCATTTCATAATATATATATATATATATATATATATATATATATATATATAAGAAATGGACAAAGTCCGACAATTTATTTATTAAAGACATTTTTTATGTTTAACGTTCTTTTTATAGATACAAGTATTTAAGTAAATGCTCTGTTTATAATAAACAGTATTAAATAACATTTATCGGCCTGAATGCCCGAGAAATTTTCATAGAAAATATTCGTCCTTTGAAAGGATTCGAACCTGCATCCTATACGGAACCGTCATTTACGCTAATGTGCCTTACCGATTTAAGATTTATTTATTAAAGACATTTCATATGAATATCCGAGAAATTTTCATAGAAATACTTTTATTATAAACAGAGCATTTACTTCAAAAATGGAAGCTGAAAGCCCCGAATTTAATTTTGTAATCAAATTAAAGACATTAGTTCCATTTTATCCTCAAGCGAATTTTGGAGTAACTTTTAAAATTACTGGGTTTTAAAGGCACAGCAAAAATCATAATTCATGTTTCCAAGGATACAGAGAAATCCATTCAACCAGACAATGGGGTGTTTGCGTGTTCATTATGTCTGTAATTTGATGTGTCAGTTATTAGTTACGTTTTGGTAGGGAGTAAGGATGTATTTTTCAATGAAATCTGACATCCGTTAAATGCATGTCGTCTGGATTAAAAAAAACATTATTGTTAATATATATATATTTTATATATATTTACAATTTTATTGTTAATATATATATATATATATATATATATATATATATATATATATATATTAATGTAAGTTTCATTAAATAATATAGACAACACTTGTCTATATTATTTAATGAAACGTATGAATGAAAAGATGCTGCCTAAATACACACAATATATATATATATATATATTATTATATATATATATATATATATATATATATATATATATATATATATATATATATATGCATATTGCATATAGCATGAAACAGACTGTCGCCACTAAGTGTTGACTTCTATGTTCACTTTTATATTTACACACGCTCTATCTCTGATATTGAGCACTTTATCCCATAAATATAGCACACCTTAAGACTATATTTCTTATATATATATATATATATATATATATATATATATATATATATATATATATATACATCTACTCTACTATACCGGTATTAGAGCCCTTTTTATTTTTTTATTTTTCTCAGTTAAAACGCATTTTTAATAAGATTTTCTACTTTAGATTCGGATATGTATATATACATCTTACAATCACACCAAGATAGGAAAATCGGGGTACAAAGTAATTTTTTTTTAAATACTCATATTGACTATATACAGAAAGACAAACACGGTTATTTAAGCTGTACAGGAACATTAGATTTAAGTGGACATTATTATGAGAAGCTAATCTGTAGGCCATTTCAATTTAAGGACGTGAAAAACATGTAAACTGTAAAATGTTACATTTAAACCAGCAGTGGGGCAAAAGTTCTCAGACAGTGGGGCACAATGAAACACGCTGGCGTAAATTGTAGCAACTAAAATTAA